AGGTTCAATTAAAAAAAGTTATAATCAAATTGCAGATGCTATTAATACTAAGTTTAGAAGTATTAGAAACAAGAGACGTTGTAAACTTAAGCCTGTTGAAGAAATTGAAAATAGTATTGATACTAGTAGTGTTACTGAAGAACATGTTGAAAGCCCTAATAATAATGAAGTATCTTATATTTGAAAAGAAGTTGAAAAAAGATTAGCAGTTGATGAAAGATATGGAAATTTTAGAAAAAAATAAAAATTTTTATTTTTATTTTATTTTATTATTTATTTTTTATTTAATAAATTTATTCTACTCAGTTATAAATAACTAAGTAGATTTTTAACATCATAAATAAAATGACAGAAAAAGAAAAAGAAATCTCAAAACAAATTGTAGATTCTTCTTGGGATATACAATTTGTTGATTCTTTTGAATGAATATTTATAATTTAATATATATTTGAAATGAAAGAATATAAAGGAGAAAAAATAAATATTATTGAATGGAAGGAAAAAAATTAGAAATTTTTAACTAAAAAAAAACAAAGATATTTTAATAACTTTAAAAGTAAATAAATATTCTATTCAGTTATTATAACCAAATAGAATTTTATTCAAGTAATCCTTGATAATGAGCACTAAAAAAAAGGTAAAAAATTACTGAGTATTTTGTTTGGTTTCTTTATCAAAATGTAAGTTTACGTTGCAAGCTTTTTTGCTAATAGCAAAACCGAATTGCTCATATAGATTTTGATAACAAAATTTTGTGAAAAAAGTAGCATTAGACTTCAGTCGTAAATAGTACTTAGTATTAGAAATATTGGTTGAAGCAATGACAACAATTTACTCATTATTTTAATTTTACGATTCATTTTACAAAATTAAATTTCTATTCGATAATTATACTGAATAGAATAGATTTAATATAGCCTATATTTATGATTATTACGTTTAATTCTCAAGGCTCCAATTTTATAGTTTCCTTCAATTTTTATACCAAACAAATAAACAGTAGTATCTTCTGAATCAATTTCAAGATTTTCTATTATAACATTATCTAATTCAAATGAATTTTTTTTCAACTCTTTGTTTTCTAATTGTAATTTTGTAGATTTAATTTTTTCAACTACAT